CTGGGGCATATTAAACCCACCGGCGGCGCTAAACCATATCTTTTATGCCCTCGTTCCGTAAATGTTCGTGTATATCTTTATCGTCGGGTAGTCTATGCAGCGGCGTAAGTGGCTTGTAAAAAAAAAGGGACGAGGATGTGAGATATTTTATTCGGACGGGCGCGAGAGAACGTCCGACCGACGTTCCATTAGTGCCCCTCGTTCAGCAAACTCGTCATTATCGCGGATGTAACGGGTAGGTGCACACCTGCCCGGATCATCCTCTTTTACTCTAATTTTTCTTTCTTTTTCTTTTTTCAAGAGCGCACGCCGTCTGTCTCCGCCTGTGAAACATTAGACACAGCCGTGTTTTCATTTAGAGCTATTTCGCATTAATTTTGAAGGGACGGATCCTCGCGATATGTTAAAAATAAATTGTGAACGTCGAGCGCGAGATAAATCGACTTTTCAAATGAACGAATCATATCGGTGGAAAAAAGATTCGTTATAGCTTACATCGATCATGGGCATATAGTTCAAAAGTAATCTGATTAAAGCGCTTCATCGTTTATTCATTTACTTTGCCGAGTCACGCGCCGCGCTCGCACTCGAATCGGAAATGTCTCGTATAATCCACACACGACAATCCTTTTGATTTTATATTTTGCCGTGTTTTGCGCCACATTCGCGATTATCGGAAGCAAAATAGCGGCGTTTAATACCCCGCAGAATTGCTCCACGGATTATCAGGCGGAATTTATGACTGATTTCATTTAATTCTTGATTGTTATAAATGGACAATATCTACACATCTTTCACTTGCGCGCTGATAATGTAAGTATAATTAAAAAGCGATTGGCAAGGCTCAATTCACTTAATACGAATCGCGGTGTCGGGGTTGTCGGGTTTGTCACTTAGATTATTCAGGTGCGAATTACTCTCGCTATTGCACTTAACTAATTGGTCCATTAAATTATACGTTACATTTTAATCAGAAGATATCACGCCACTCCCGTATTTCAAATACTGTTATATATATATCTCTCCGACTCGTCGACATGCAAATTCGTATTCACTGCGAATCGCGAGATAATTTGTTCCTATTACCGGCCCTTTAATCATAGTAATAAGTAAGCATATCGAGGATAAAAATCGCCTGGCTCATAACCGATGCTTTATATGACTCAAAAGCCGCTTTTTAAAGCCCCTCGAGAAGACGTTCCTTAATCGCGACTGATGGCGAGGCGAATAGATAGGGGAAGGGAACGAATAAAGATCTAAGCTTCATAATTGACGTTTGATCGGCCGACTTATGAGAGCGCTCTATGCCAAACTGTCCCTGCCTCATAATCAATCAAAGCTGACGTGATTAATAGCCGAAAAATAATGAAAAATGATGGATCTAAGCACGCGAATCCCCGTATTCACTTACTTCGAGATTATCACTCTTCCGAACGTTTTTTCGCTAATGATCGCGATCGTTCGGCGGTAATGCAGTTGAATGAAAGCGAATCGAAATATTCCACGTTGCCGTTCCATAGAAATCTGAATGGCCAACTATTTTTCAATGGCGATGAAAATTCAATCTGCAGCCCGTTCCGGTATTTCTGCCCCTCGATTTCGCTGTACAATAAGTATAATAATAATAGTAATCGACAAGAGGTGATTTAAAGCTCATGCACTGCAGTCTAGGAGGCTTGTGCTTTCTCCAGTACATAGTCACAAATACCCTAGCAAAGCTGTAACTCCTTAAAGAAGTCAACGAGCTTTTGCCAGGGTATTTTGTGCACTTTTTCAAGTGGTATTTTTCCCACCCGTACAATAAGTACGTAATTTTCCTAATTTTCTCCAAGATAATTTCTATCGAACAAATAAAAGTAAAAAAAAATCTAAATGTTGGTAAATGCGATGTGTTCCGTCGAGTTGTAGCAAGTACTTATCCGTCCTCTAGTTGTTTCATTTCGCGGACAATTCTTAATTGAAAGTTGCTCGTGTGACGTGCACGCGTTCCGTCTAGTATTTAATTCAGGTGTCACCTGTGTACTTAAGCACGCGTGCTTAAGGCTCACACGCCGCACCGCATTGTCGAGCCGTGCTGCAACGCTACGAGCTAAATCAAACAACGCCGCAAATTGCAAATGGGAACTAATTGCTTTCGCGCTTTACTTACAACCGCAGTAACGTTTTAACAAGCTCCGATGCGGAGGCGACGCGAGCCCTCTGCGATCCCTGCATCGAGAGAGCGGACCAGCTCTGTCTCTCCCTCTCTCTCTCTCTCTCTTTCTCTTTCTCTCTCTTTCTCTTTCTCTCTCTCTCTTTCTTCCTCCCTCTCTCTATCTCTCTCTCTATATATATAAACGAGCGAGGATTTAATGCGTATGAAGGGCGCAAGAACGCCAACGCACAGAGAATTCCCAATTAGCATCGCTGACAAAAGTGAAACTCAATGATGCGCGCCCGCACACGCCCGATGTCGATTGCATAGTAACGAGGGAAAATCGGTAATTAGATTGCGAGAGAATTGCGGGTACGCTCGTGCGAGCGCACGCGACATTTCCCGCCGACACGCCGCGCCGACAGACAGAGTCACATAATTATTTTAATGCGCATAATTTGCGGGAGACGACAGAGAATCTCTCGCTAGCGCTTTGATTATTATATACGATCAAAGGATACGCCATTCATATGAGGATACCGATTTAATTTGCGTCGCGCAATTTCTACGAATATCGTGCGCTCACATTTATTACGCACAAAGGAATTTTGATTTATGTTATTTTTTATATATTTGATTGATGTTGGGAGGACCATACGAAATAGAGCTTGATTCCGGAAACTGTTGTGAGTCTATCTTTGAACGAGCCTTCGCCGAGCGCCAACAACGGTGCACTAAAAGGGGTTTGTTTAACATTGCGCCACGGAAGTTGAGGATCCATGAAGAATTAACTTTTACGAGGCTGCGCGAAAGAAACTCGTCGAAAGTTAATCGCGCGCGCATTCCATTGATTATCTCTTTTTTTGAATCCGTTAAATCGAGTTCCATCAAACTTTCTTATAAACTGATTCGGAATCTCGCGCAAAAATCAGCATGGCGTCGATTCCACAAGCTACTATCGTTAAACATCAGCGAGATGTAAAAATCCCTTCGCGGAGACGATCTCGCGCCACGGACAGAAAGAGGAGAGAGAAACAGAGGGGGAGAGAGAGAGAGAGAGAGAGAGAGAGAGAGAGAGAGAGAACGCGCGTTTAACATTCCTTATTTTTATAAGGACGTGAACGGCAAACGGGTGGCTTGAGACGAGCGTCGCGACTAACGATTCTTCGATCTATTCTCAGAATTGACGTCGATCGCGAAGCAAAAGGAGACAACTCTACAGGATGATCGTTCGTCTCTTCTTCTGCTTCAATCTTCACCGAACGGCATCAACGGTTTGCTCCCGATTCCCTCTTAACGATTTCGCAACACGAAACTCGCGGCGAGAATCACGGAGGTCCGTCCCTCGAGGAACGCGTTGATAAAGCGGAGGATGCATCGTATTATACGGAGCATCAACGCTTTCATGACGCCATGACGTTGTTTGTGGAACGGCATTTGTAGCGCAGACGTGTGCGTGCGCGCCAGCCACCGTCGGTGTGTTTGCCTTGATGATACAATTGTATGTACAGTACAGCGCGGGAGGCTGTACTGTACGTCCTGGCTCCACGGCACGGCACTCGTGTTGCTTGGCTGGTCGGTTGGCGACGTGCATAGGCCGCGCTAGATATCCGTGTTTGTATACATCCAGAATATGCGCCCGCGACAGCCGGCCGTTGCGCTACCGCGGTTTGCGATGGAATTACCTACCTAGGAGAATCCGACGATCACCTCGCAGAATGATGATAACACGAGGATAGAAACGTACCGCATTCGTTTGAACGGCACCTGCGAATCCTAGCATCTTGTTTTTAAAAATAATTTAGATTAAAATTAACGCTTTTATTAATTTTTTAAAGAAATTATTTAGATAAAATAACGTTTTTCTTCGTGGAGTTTTAAAATTCCTACATTTTGGAATTCTGATAAGTATATTTAAAAAAAATTAAGCACAGAAATCTTTGTTTCAATTTCACGTTTTACGAAAAATAGCAATAACTTCTTTTTATTTCGATTTTAGAAGCAGAAATTCAATATTTTAGAAAAATTCCAAAGCAACATATTTACAGTTTTAATTTTATTTAAATGATTAACTATTAATTAGACATTTAGAGGAAGAATCATAATTAATAGATATTTATTGAAATAATGCAATTTCTAATATTTTACATTTTCTTCCTCTCATTCTCGTTCTTTAAACAGCGTTAAGAATAATATTGCAACAGCATTGATATACTGATTCGAGAGCGGATGGCGGTTTTAAGAACAGGCTTTCTGAAATAAGAAAGCAAATGGAGTTGGCGGAAAGTATTAATGCGAGGTATGGAAGTAAGATAAGTGAGCCGTGGCGGCCGTTACGCGCCACGGCCGCCAGATATATCCGGGATCGCGAAACTAATTCCAGCCTCTAATGGTTCTGCCAATAGCAATTTCTATAAGACTGAATAGTGATTCTCAGATATTAAGAGAGAGCGAGAAACTTTCCTTCGACCCTTTCCACACGGAAGGGGATCCTGTTCCCGTGCAATTTCCGTCCGCTCTCTTTCCTCTCGTGCTCCCTGTTCCTGTTCCATTCTTCTATCCCTGACCGCCCTACGGTATAGAGACATTAAACACCTAATGGGCTCTTTTTTTCGTCACGCCGATAGCGAAAAGAACCGCAATGATTGATTTTCGTCCGAACTAACGGCGAAACTTTTTATCTCGAGCAGACGCCGCGAAGAACAATTCAATTTAAACCGAATGGAAACCCGCTCCGTCGTTTATAAAAGTCCATCTTCATTAATTGCCATAGATACCACTCGATTATTGATTAATTAAAAAGCACATATTTCCCGCGCGATGAGGATTATTTAATAATAAAAAAAGTTACAAATACGGGAGGGACTGATGGGGCAATCTAATTTATTACATTTTTAACTAGATTGGTTTAAAACATGTTTACATCGTATCGGTCATTCCTACTTCAATATCACTCACGTAAAATTTAATCGTCATCCACATAGTGATACGGATAAATCCGGCATTCAATCTTATCGCTCCCAATGCGTTGGCTTTTAATTTTTAATTTTTAATACTTCACCACATTTAGGTATGTCTTTTTTACAAATACTCGATTTCTGGCGATATTTTTTGACCTGACGATTTGTCAAAAATGTAACATGATACGAGAGACATTTTGTTGTAAAATTGGACTTTCTTTGAAATATGAAATATTATGATTTTAGACTAGTTTCGAACAATTACGCGATGTAAATGTATTTTGATTATTTCTTTTTCGGGCTATTCGATGTCGATCGTTTTTATATCTGCACATATATTATTTCTCTTGCAAGATATAAACGACCCGGGCAGTCATCGTGGCATCGGCGAATCGATACGGTGCAGTCTATACTTCCGGCGAGTCTCGAGCTTGCCGCATAAACTATCACTTCTATCATGGGCATCAACGTCACGGGCAATCTCAACGCGGTTGCCCAAAAATTCGTTCGCTCGTGCATCTTGAAAGATCATCTCCTTCGACTTTTCGCTCGTGATTTTCAATTTCCTCCTTCCTGTCGATCCTCCGTTAAGAGCGAACGTCGAAGAGCGGCCCGATAGAGATTTTCGGTGAGAGATTTCTTATGGTACGAAATTATCTTTCTTTAAGACGCACAATTTACGAGAGGCAATATGCTCTTTCGGTATCCAATAGAGGATCCCTCCTCCCGGTATGGCACCGGGGTCGAATCGGAAGCGCCGATTCTTCGTCCCTTCGATCGCTTCAATCGTTCAGCTCCTTTTGTATTTGCACAAAAGTCTTGCCTTTCGTCTCGGGCGAGAGGCGAAGAATCAGAACGGTGCATACCGTCACGATCACGAAGAATGCTAGGTAAGGCACCGAGTGGCCGTAGTTCCACGTGTCGACTACGAGAATGTAAGTCTTCGTCGCTATCACGCCGAAGCAGCCGCTGGTGGTAGCCAGGAGGCACGTGGCGAGAGCTTTGACCTCGGTGGCGAACATCTCCGACATCATGATCATCTGCATAGGGAGCAGACCGCAGTTGAAGGCGAACACCAGCAGCATCGCCGCGATTAGCAACGCCGTCGTGTACGCGGACACGTCCGCGTTCAGATAGTCCTTCGCGTAGAAGAAGACGCCGATCGCGAGATTCGACGCGGCGGCAATCAAGCCGGAGAAGAGTATCAGCGGTTTGCGACCCAGCTTGTCGACCAGGAAGATGGTGATGGTCGCGGAGACCACCTGCACCACGCCGATCATGATATTCGCCGTGTGATTGGAAATCATCTGGAGCTGAGCGGATTTGAAGAGGAGTTGACCGTACGCGATCAGCACGAAAAACCCGCCGACGTGATGGGTGATCGTGATGAGATTGATGATGATAAAAGCACGGCGACTGGCGCGCGCGGTTAACAACTTCCTTATACCGCCGGTCTTCCGCTGCTGCTTCTCGTCGGACATCGACTCGGCGATCACCTGCAATTCTTCCGAGACGTCCATCTTACCGCGCAGCTTTTCCATTGCCATCTCCGCCTTGTCCGTTTTGCCCGTCATGGCCAGGTAGTACGGCGACTCCGGCATGAAGCAGAAAGCGATCGTGAAGCCGGCGGACACGGCCAGCCAGATGGTCGCCGTTGTGGATATCGACAGGTACGGCGCGACGATGAACATCACGAGAATGCCGAGATTGAACATGATCGTGCTCGCGGCCCCTCCGGCGCCCCGCGTGCTCGGCGACGCAATTTCTCCTATGTACATCGTCAATACGCACATGAATTGGCCTAAGCATAGGCCGCCCATGAACCTGGCTACGTAGAGAACCTGTAGCAAAGGGAAATTGTATTATACTAACATACCGTTAGGTTCTGTTAATTTTTTTTTAATTGTAAGCGACAGGAAAAATTAACGGAGCCGACCGGGATTCGAACTCGGGGATCCTTCGTTCACACGTCTAGCACTTAGGCTGCTACCCCACGACTGCTCCACGACTACCCTACAACTACGCTAATTTCTCCGATCTCCCATCAATACCGGCCCTATGGCCCAAAATCTTCTACTATTTAATATTCCGTAAATTGGAAAAGAGAATATTACGATGTCAAAGAAATAAATTAAAAGAGAATATATTATGATATTACAAAAACGACGAAATTTTCATTAATAAATTACATTTAGACATAAAAAATATAATTGTACTTTTCTCTGTGATGTAAAATGAATCTCTGAATAGATTTTTTACACGCAGCATTAATTTACAATGAAGAAAAGAAATAGTTGTTAATGTTTCGCAAGACGATCTGCATTCGTGAAGATACTTTTGCTCACCCAGATATTCGTGGCGATCACGATCAAGCCCCAACAGATTACCGATGATATCCCGCTGAACAGAATAGCCTTTTTTCGACCTATCCTGTCGACTATGAGCTGGTTGATTATCGGCCCCAGGATGTGACCGACGGGGACCATGGACACCAGGGTGGAAACGTTGGAAACGGTAACCGAGATCGGCGAGTCCGATGCCATCAACTGTATAATGCTCGGCGAGTCCCAGCCTATGATCGCTCCGACGCATAAGCTCATAATTGAACCTAGATTTCGCATAATTGCACAACGTAATCGTGGCGTAATTCGGTCGCTCGAGCGAGGAGATCGGTGCCGACAACGGTAATAATCAGCGGAAACAATAGAGAATTACACAGTAAAAAATCGAGTGTACATAGTGGTCCATATGTTAAAATTTTCTTGTGTCACCAAGATTTAATTATTATTTCATTGTAAAATTAACATACAATAGCTAAGTTATTTTTTTTTTTTAACATTTTTATGTGTTACATTTATGTCAACGTGATAACTGAACTTTATATATATATATATATATATATATATATATATATATATATATAAAGTAATTGTGTTAAAAGAACTCAAAACAATATTTAATTTTTAAATAACATTGTATATATATATACAATGTTATTTAAAAATTAAATATTGTTTTGAGTTCTTTTAACATAATTACTTTAAAAAATCAACACGTCTTCAAATTATTTTAACACATAAACAAAAGTTAAACGTAAATTCTCAAATAATCATAAACTTTGACATACAAAATAATTAAATTTACTAAAATTAAATGTTTCTATTACACATAATTTAAGTAAAATCTGTAAAATAATTAATATCATGTGTTAATATAAAAAATGAATTGAAAAATAAAGTCAAAAGAACAAATATAAATGTAAAGTATAGTGTCAATTGATTAACATTTCTAATTTGTCAACAAGTAACACATGATGAATGAGTCATTTTAACTTAAAATTTAGAGTGGACTTTCTGCGACATGTAAAAAATGTTAAAATTACGTTTTATTTTTTACTGTGTATCGTCGAAGCGACGATAGTAAACGATTGTTTCGCACGAAAATTAAAAATCGACTCTTACAATTAAACATGATCAGATACTCCCACGTCCTCGAGCCCCTCGGCGTTATGTATTTTCTCTCCTTGGCGTCGGAGTCCATCTCGATGGAATTAAATCAAAATCCTCACAAAAACGAACGCCTCGCGCGATCCGGCGATCTCACAGCACTGGAGTAAAGCGCAACGAGAGCGCTATAAAACAGAAATGATTCTACATTCCTATGCGTGGAATTAACTTTCAACGAGATAACACAACAAGTACTGTGGTAAGTGTAAAGTGTATGATTTGTGGCAGCACAGATACAACGAGAGACATATCCAAGAATAGGTTATCAAGTGATTTCATATCTTTCAAATAGAGCATATGTTCAAATACATCACAATCTTGAGTTTTAAGAAATTATACTCAATGTTCATCCGTGATGTCCGTGCACGGAAAGAACGATTTTGCTGAAGTACCTATCTAAAAAATTAACTAGCAACAATCTGAAAACAATTTTGTTGGATCATCAAAATAATTATGTAGAACACTCAAACTTATTGCTAAAAATGTCAAAATTTTTTACAGCATACTTTAGAGACCTACTATAATTATTTTGATGATGCAACAAAATTATTTTCAGATCTATATTTAGCTAAATTTTTAAATATTTCAGCAAAACCGTCCTTTCCGTTCGCTTGTGGCATACTCGCTTACAATGTTCGCTTGTTATATATTTGATGATGTACGTGCATTCATATTTTAATAATATATGTTTTATATGCGTATGCATTCTAATTCTGCAAATATTTTATTATTATTACGTATTACACGACGCGTAAATTAATAAATAGAATTCTATTTTGATGCGAATTTCAGATTGTTTAAAGCGAGTTTTGTTTCACTGAAATTTGAGCAGCACGTGTCATTGATTTTTAAAATACGATAAAAAGTTGAGTGAAAAGGCCAGATTTGAGTGCTTGCCCGGATTTCTGTTAATTAAGCATTAATTAACAGAGTCAACTAACAAAGCCAATATCCGCACTCCGCAGTTCACGAAGCCGAGATAGAAAAAACAAAAGTCATGCGACATCGGGAAATCAATACAAACCGTGTAAAATATATGTATAAACGACAAACTATACATTTTTTACTACATTTCGGATACATTTGGAAAACCTATATCTGTAAAAAATACATTCTGCAAGAAATTAATATATTAATATATAAAATAATATTAAATTAGTATCTCTGCACAAATCACAGAAATAAAATATTCAATACTTCAAATATTCAATAGAGAGATATTTTTGTGATAAAAATAATTCAAGATTATTTTTATTTAATAAATATTACATAAAATAATTTTAAAATATTACTTTGTAATTGTTCTGCAATTAGTTTTAATTATGCCATTCGGACACTGCTCTATTCGAGATAAAGAAATTAATTTTTAATCTGCGGGGTTGAAAAATTATTTTAAAACTCGTGATAATCTTTACACTGTTGGAAAATTTGTGTTAAATATAACATAAATCACATGTCCCAAACGGTTTACTCAAACTTTTGTGTTAATTTAACATAATATGGATGTGTTAAATGGTAACATCGATACTATGTTAAAATATTTCAACAGAAAGGAAATGTAATTCTAATCGTAATTTGAGGTCAATTATGTGTACAATTAACCTAACTTTTATGTTGAAGTTAAGATTGTAAGATAAAATCAACACTCTTTTTCTGTAAATTTTAACACTAATAAATACATTCAAATTGTGTTACTTTAATATATTTTTTAAAATAGTTTAATAATTTTACATTTTAAATTTGTTAAGTTAAATTAACATAGCAGGCATATGTTAATTCTACACATGTATGTGTTGATTATTTTACACAAAAATTTTGACAAGGACCTTTTTTAACAAAACTAGAAACATTTTTCAACAGCGTAGATTCAAATCATGCGAGCTGGTCGATCTATTTGTTCAAGCTACATTGATGGACATTTCATAATGCAGAAATTATATATACGATAAACTTCTGCACACTCAATATGATCCTATATATATATTCATCTCCGTCAAGAATGAATAAAATAATTAACGACTTTGAAGAGACGAAACCATTTTAATGGAATAAACTTCTCCACGAATCGACAATAACGCGCAATAATTAAATTTTAGTTGCACAGGTGTTAATATATCATTCTCACTTTTGCCGGGCATATCAATTTCCACAATAAATACCCCCACGATAAATAGTTTTAATAATTAATTAAATCAGATTCGATTCTTCAAATTCGAACAGGAAATATCCACCACTGAATGACGTTAATTAATCAAGCGTCAGATCAACTTCCAGATATTGATACTATTATTCTTTCATATCGGATTCATTCACTTCTTCGTGTATATTGACAAAAATAGGAGCTTAAGATACATCCGCGGAATACCGGTCCAGATTGGAAATAATCCGGAAATGTACGGTTACATTTTTAAATACCGGAACATCCGAAGATTAAAAGTGATCGAAAACGGCGGAGATTTTGTAATTCCATTCGCATTTTTATTGCAATATGCACGACCGTGCCGCTATTGGCCCGTCGCGTCGCGCCGCGCCGTGTCGATTGTGACGAGCGATTACTCCCGGCAATGCAATTTTACATACTTCTCTGCAAATGCACCGCTTGCACTGATTCAACGTTTTCGTTAGAGGAAAAAACATCGATCTGATACCGTGCTGCCATTGTTTGCGCGGGCCGGTCTCTGTTTTAACGCGGACGCGCTGTTAGTAGAACAAATATTTTCGCGCGAGTTGTATCATGAAACTGATGCGCGCTGTTTGCGACATTGCGTTAACCGTGAGTTCTCTTCTTTTCTTCCTTTAATGACGTACATACTTCTGTTCATCGCCTGATAAGTGCGGAAGATTACACAAGTGGTTTAACAATCGCGAAACAGGTAATGAACTCGCACAGCTGTATCATAGACGGTACAGTTGCTCGTCTATATGTATCGGATCGACAACTGCATTATAGCAAAATTACCGGTTTGTAATTAATTTCACGTGTCTTAATAAATTATCCTTGGAATACTATCTTTGGAATACCTTTATATCGATACTGTGAAACGTATATATGTAGAGAAAGAAAGATTTATTTGTTTATTTCGTGATTCTACATCTACTCATTATGCTTTTAATTTTTTGCTCAACGTTGCTTAGATCACTCTAATAATTTTAATATCTCTTTCTCTCACTCTTATTTTAATCAAACTCGTTTTAGTATATTTTTGGAATGATTAAATAATTTAATTTAATAAGATTTTCATTTACTTACTACTAATGTCTTTCGAATTTTGTTTGTCAAAAATATATTTGTTAACAACAATTTTTAATACGTACACTTACGTTATACGTAGCACTCAGATAAAAATATCCAAATAGATCGAAATTTATTTTTCTGTATAAAAAATCTATTTTAATATTTTAATGGATTTTTCTCATTGCACTACCATTTTTGTTTGATTCATATTGATTCGTTTTTTTCTGTCCTTGGTTTATTAATTAGTCTTTCCCCACATATCTCCTTTTTTAATATTTTTCTCTTTCAATTTATTTTACACATGATATTTGGATTAATGTGATTCTTAAAAAAGCGTACAGAGAAAACGAAATATTCTGGTTACTGTAACATTTTTGACAATTTTTGACAATTCTGAAATTTAATTCTATAAATTTAATTTTATAAAATCACGAAAAATGAAAAAACAAAAGTAAAAAGTGTTAAGAACTATCGTGACAACAAATGTTGCGTATTTGTAGCTGCAGCAACAATATTGAAATTCGTAAATAAGACAAACGCTCTCACAATAAACAATTCGTTAATAATAAGGCAAAAAAGACCGGAACGCCGTTGTTATAGAGAGTACATATAATACATAAAAAAATTTTTAATACATATAAATTACTTACGTTTCGATCTATCTTTTAGATCCTCTTCAGTGCAAACAATTAATACAATGGATTATGTTCTTTGAAACAGTTATGAGAATCGCAAAAGTAGTAGGAGACGTATCCCATTAGCTGATGGTTGAGGTGCAAGGGTGCTTATCACGTGAGAGTATTGATATGTCGCGGGATCAACTGCTTCTTTTTTTTATAAAAACAAAAAGAGTTAGCTACTCCAGAAATTATGTGTGAAAATGATTTGTAACCACTTACCAAACAGTTGAGCTCGCAACAGTCATTGATGTTTGAATTAGTTGTGGAGTCGATGTTCTCCTCCTGACTTCAGCGCGTGGACTAAACACATCGCTTTTACAAGAGTGAAGGGTACCCAGCAATATCATGAAGAATAATAAATATCGTGAGAAGGTCAATAAATAAAACACGTTAAGAAATAAGAACAAGTCAATAAATAAAAGTAAATATAGATATAAAAATAAATAAACTAAACATGTCAGTTATGTGAAAGTCTTCCTACAATCGGTAAATAATCAGTATTTAAGTTCAATGTTTCTTCTTGATGATTGATACTATATTCTTTTGTCTTTTCATATTAGAACATTTCAGATGTGCGTTCCGCTCTTATTTGTCTTATTATTAACGAATTGAATATTGAAATTGTTAGTCGAACTTTGTTGATATAATTATCTCACTTGTAATAGTTGCACGTAACTATTAAGTAGTAATGAAATAATGAAATAACTATAATATATTGTTAGTTTCGATAGATTGTGACAATTAATATTCTCTTTCGGCTTAGACATTCTTTCAAAATGAGTCATTGTGCCATAATACATATTTTTTTATAATTTAATAATATATTTTTAATAAAACGTTTTTACATTCTTTTGTACACTATTCGTATTCTATCCTATTTATTATAAATGGTTAACAATAGGGACCCGGAACAAACTGGAAGTGAAACTGAAAAGGGTTTCCATAACTCTTTCTTTAGTTGAATCGAAACCGTAAATAGTAGTACCAAATTTTAAAAAGTTTATAACACCGAAATCTCTCATAATCAAACCAATAAAATTATTTTTAATTTATGGTTTTTCGGTTCTTACTCTATATATAATTCATTTATACGTTTATTACTTTAAGTATTCTATCTATTTACATTATTTCTGTTCTTTTGAAGAGAAAAAATATCCACGTTTTTTCGTCGACCAAGAATTCGAATACTTCAGTATTATTTTTTTCTCTGTCTTCTAATACAAACATATAAATTAATTTTTTCTACATTTTTTGTTATTCTATTAAATAATAGAATTTTTTCATTTTTATTTTTCTTCTTACATATATATACACATACACAGTTTATAACAGAATAAATGTAGAAAAAAAATCATTTTAAATTCCTCACCCTTCGCGCGCATAACTATGTAACCGAAAAATTCGTAATTTTCACGGTTTTTCTTTACTGGTCGAGAAACCGAAACTGAAACTGGAACAGTTTTATTTGATGTTTTATTAAACCATTACCATAACCGGAACTAAACTGAAATATTCTTTTGGTTCAGGTCTCTAGTTAACGTTACTATATCTCCTTAGGTAACTAATTCATTTTTCTTATCGCAACTTATTAATAGTAGTTGGCATGCTACTATTTCTCTTGAGTTTTTTAGTTGTTAGTGCTACTTTTTTCTCTAAATACGCGAATATGTAAGAGTAAGAAATCACAAACAAATACTATAATAATAAAAAAAACTACGATGTAGTGATTTAAAAATACTGTAGAAATTTTATCTACTTTCGTGAAAATGGACCATCTCGCGCTCAATGGGAGTTTTCAGTATCGATTGTTCTCTTACGCTGCATGACTCCGCGAAATTGTATCTATAGTAATGGCGTTACATTTGAAAGGAATCCGAGAAGGATAAACGCGCGTTGGGGGGGGGGGGTGCAGGGACGCCCCGAATCCCATCACTTTAGCGGGGATATTGCTACGTCGCGCGTCGTTCCCGAAACAACCTAGCGCGGAAATCGATTGGTCGGTCTTCCGGACGGCGAGACCGGTGAGACAGACTTCCGTACATTGATATTCAGCGGGGGTCCTCGTCTCTTCGAACCGTCAAGAAATTTTACCCGGGGCATTGCAACACGCGCGTCCCCCGTGGAATCGCTAAGTTTCCGCCACGTCGACAACGGCGGCGGTTCGGGTATCGAATAATTATACAAGTCGAGTAAGTAGCCCGGCGCCGTGACAAGCGTGACGAGCTTCGGAATTCGTTATCCGCCGTGGTTGCAATGAAATTTCTTCGAAGGGGTTTTTCTTATCCCGCGACGAGTATATCGATTCGTTCCTCCTCCTCCCCCCGTTGCTAATTGCACCCGTCGCGAAACGCCCGAGCTCGCGAAAAGGGGTCGAGAAACGCGGCGTTATATGATATTATATTTCGACTTTATTACACCGCTCGAATTTATTTCGGTGTTATTATTTCGAATTTATTTTGGTATTATTATTTGAACTGACCCCGATATCTGTTTCGGAAAGAGAGCTCATATTTTCTCTTCTAGTTGATAAATCTATAATCGATTATTAAAAAAAAAAAAAAAAAAGAAAAAAGAAATCGCACGTGCAATTTCGGCGATAGTAAAGCCGATCGAGTGGTCGATTTTTCTATTTCGCACGGCGAGATCCACATCTATAACACATATCTATACCGATATACGTTTCGGGGCAACAATCAAAGAGCAGAACGGGCTTTGCAGCGGGAATGGCTTGGATCGTTCTATTAAATATCCCTTGTCTATTGAATAAATCCATATGTGGGCACGATAGATATTTCTATTCGCCGATGAAAACAATTGTTGATATTCCGGTCCACTTGTGATATCTCCCCCTCCCTTCGCCGATCTGGCAAAACCGATGCATTCAGGTATTAAACTGAAATATCAAATCAACAGCAGAATAACCGTGTATCTCCATGCGATTTTATAAATCCGGGTCGACCTGCAGACACGTCCTCCTCCGCAAGAGAGGAAACTGTTGCGCAACAAACCCCGTACGACACGCGTGCAATAAAAGCCTCATTAGGTAATATGTATAGATGTTTATCGATCCTCTCACATGCGTAGCGTGTGTGTAAAACCCGATCGATATCAACCGTAATAACGGAAAATTATCGATAATATTTTCATCATTATTTGTCGAAAACGCGTTATTTAGCTTTGTATTTAAAATTTTCCGGACATTCCTGCCGATTTGTTCGCGTACGTCTATTCATCGAGCTGCGCGCGCTGCGGACTTATAGGTACGTATATTAATTACGTGGCGATGTGAAAGCAATTACCGGTAGAAATCAATCTGTCCGCGTTGCTTCGTCAATTTTCGCTAATCCGATTAATATATCGGCTTTGAAACTGCCGGGCATTCAACTGGTGTAAATTAAATTATTTATTGGGTATTATGTTCCTGAATGAGAATTTGAGCGTCTCGCCTAGCCTCGCTTAATGACAAAATCGTGTCCGTTACGCAACTCTTATGACGAATATCGCGATACGTCAATAACGGCGGCTGAAAAATATCGATGCGAACGCTCGATATTTATCTGCTATAAGATATTAATAAAGAAAATGTAAGGAAGGGGATGGGGGATAAGAGGTATGCGCGAAGAGGAAATCGACGAAAAGTTAATAGAATGTGAAACGTTCGCGAGTTGTAAGGAAATCTCGATTGGCACTTGAAGCTTCGACGGGCGAGGCGGGCTTGTGATATTAAATTAGAATATTCTCAACATGTATACGTATATATACTCGACGTGCACAGGTATATACTCGCGTAAGGCGCCTTCCGTGGAGATGCGAGCGCATCCACCCGCCTTGAATATCAATTCCTTTCCCCGGTCTCTCGTAAAAAGAGAATCTATATTCACGCGTCCACACACACTTGAGGGTTGCGTTATAGAGCGTCGCGTTGGATTTTTTTCAGTTTACCGACCGATCGATTACCGCATCACTTGGAGTGGACCCATCCAATTTAGTGGGGAATTTAAGAAATCATTTTCTTTTCCTAGATATATATATATATACATATATATGAAGATACAGGAAGAGAATTGATTATAAAAGTAATATCGATCGTCCCAGATAATCACCCCAATAAAATTCTAATTACAAGCAATTAAATGATCTTGCGGATCTAAGTAATTCAAGTTGCACGAATATAAGGTTACACTAACGAGATGAATACCTGGTAAAGCGTCAATTATCAGATTACAATGAAAATCCAGATCGAGATTTATTGATTATTACTGACAAATTTCTTTCTCTGTTTAAAGCAGCGATTGCGCAAGCAATCTGAATAAGATTCCGACGATAGCCAGTAAGTAAAAGGAATGCCCGCCGCGTCGAAATACACAGAAAAAAAGAATATTCTTGATTTTAAAATATATCTTTAGCTTCAACGTGGAAATCTTGAAATGAGATTATTTTGCGAAACAAAGAATGCTGCTTGCTTGAATGATGTCATTTTACATGGTTCAATCAAGAAAAGAAGTTAAAATAAAACGTTGAAATTCTTATAAGAAGTAAGAAGATTATAGATTGTTTTATGTATATATACGAGTATATAAGTTTTGATTTGATATTTCTTTCCAATCAACTGTTTTTTTTTTGTTTTTTTTTTTATTTGGCTCGACTTGACTTGATACAACTTAGGTTGATTGGCTGACGTGTCTGGAAACCAGGAAGAAATGATAATACAGCCCAGCTGCGTGCCCGGTGGGCCTATATGCAACCCTATGCACCCCCGCTATGCGCGGATGCCTCGCGGATGTATGGCTCGCCGAAGAAGGATATTTATGTGCGCCGTAGCGTGAGCGCAGGGCATCACCTCGGCCCTTCTTAACCCCGACGGCCCCGGAACCGTCAAACACACACATACATGAACGCTCACATAAGCGCCTTCGGAACGTTATTTTCGAGGTGTAATTCGCCAGATTACCATCGGATTGAGTAATTTCGTACGTAATCGCGTACGGTCGAATCCTTTCAGCTGACCGGCTACTTCGACGCGTGTCGAATGCATACATGCATGCGACGCCAGACGACTATAATTTCTCGCTATCGTATCGTTTAATAATACGTATGTCGACGAATCACAGGGAGATCTCGAAGCGAACAAGGTGTTCGGGAGCGTAATGGTCGCGCGGAGCGGTACACAGCTGCGAACACCGCCGAGACCCGCGAATATACATAATTCTACAGAGCGCGCCGGAGATTCGTTTTCAGTCGTAACCGTAAATGAGCTCTCTGAAATTAAAGGATAATGGTTTCACGGAATATCAGGGGAGATAATCGAGATTCAATTAACGCGGTTGAAGGAAAGAACAGCGATCCTCAATGCGACTCGGCGTGATCTTTGGCACGCCAGAATCGTAATATCTCACCCGATTATATAGATGACGGCCGTAAAAACGTATTCGAGTTTTTTAAAATGTAGAATGTTCCCGGAATAGCCCCCTTAAATAATATTTCGAGCATGTACTCGATTCTTTTGTTATGTCGATCTCGATCTTCCTGATTAGTGTCGCGAGGAAATTGGTAAATAAACTCCCGAAGATCGATTGTTTCACCGAAGCGATTATTTCAATATGGACGTGAGTCCACGTTATAATCCAAATCGCTGTAATTCAAATCGACATGCTTAATAGCCAGACGAGCCTCGACGCAAGGGCGTGGTGTGGCGTGATCGTGATCAATGGCTAAGTCCCGATGACGACGAGTAGACCTGCAGGCCTAAACCGATCCTACAATCCGGAATTAATAGAGTGTGAACTGTTCTCGAGTGTTCTGGATAAATTCTGGACCGTATATACCTTCCCTTCTGGCCTTCTGGCTGCCGATCGCGCTCGCTTCACCGGTCGAGTTTCTCCGCGTGGAGCGAGAGAAACCGATCAGTCGGTGGTCGAAGAACCACCCAAGAACCGGCCAGACAAATTCAATTAACCCGCGAGTTTCGTTAACAACTAACAAACGCCGAACGTTCTTGACTAACGCGATTACGTCCAAGTCCAATTTGTCACCAAGAAGCCGTGACGGAAACGGCGGCAACTTCTGTCCTCGTACGGAGAAGAATACGGAACTGAAGTTTCGAATGAACGAACAAACGAATGGACGGACGGACGGACGGACGGACGGACAGACAGACGAACTGGGTCACAACACCCCAGTCAGCCGCGCCGCGAAGTTTCAAGTCTCACTGGTCCCTACTGCCCTATATAGCTATCGGATACCGTATTGTTATCAAGCTGAATGGCTGACAAATTTACGCCGACAAATTCTCGAAACGCGGGGTTCACGCGACGTCGAATAAAACGCGTCCGTTCTCATCGCACATTACAACCTCGCGTATTGTAATGTTGTAGATATGAAAAGCATATGTAAAAGAGCTTGCTCCGGGAAAAGAACGGAGGCAGAAAAGCAAGCAACTTCGCTGTATTATTTGGTATCTATTTTGATATCTATCCTCGGTATCTATTTTGATATCCAACCCTAATATATATATCTACGTTTTTATAAAAATTATATAGTAAGTTTGAAAATTTGTTATTATTAATTACAAGAGAATCAGGTTTTTTTAATCTATTTGTCAAGATAATTGATAATGAATTTAACGACTGCACGGCAGAATAACTTAATGACAGTTTCTTTATCGTTATATTGTTGTTGCGCAGCTTTTTTACTACATACTTGCGCGACGACAATATAACGTTCGAAATTCATTAAGAGTTACAGACTAGAGCCGTTCTACACGAAAAAAAACGGTTTTTTGCTAAAGTACCTAAAAATTTAGTTAGATACAGATCTGAAAATAATTTTTTGCACCATATCAAAATAATTATGCAATTAGAACACTCAAACTAATTGCTGAAATGTTAAACATTTTTTTATAGCATTATCATCCTACTAGCGACCTATAATTATTTTGATGTGCAACAAAATTATTTTTAGATCTATATCTATATAGCTATAAATTTTTAGATACTTCTGTAAAATCGTTCTTTCCATGTATTGGCCACAATATAGATACATTGTATGTATGTTACATAATATCGTATTTTAGACTTAGGCCGGTATTTACAGTTTGATCATATATTCAAGATCGTCTCTCGAGATACATTCCGTTGGTTGGGTGGAGTCTTAAGGCTATCCAACTCCAAACTAAGACGATTTTGAATATAAGATCGGATTATGAGTATCGTCCAAGTGTTTTATTTGTACCGTTTAGTACCTTACAGTAAGCTGATCGAGTCTCAGCTCTTCAATATATTATATTTATGACTTATTAGTAGATATAAACCTTAAGATTTTATAGATAAAATATAATGTAGAGAATATTTTAAAACTAATAGTTCACTAAATTATGCCACAATTTTTTATTATTATTATTAAACAAAACAAATGGTGGTAAGTATTGAGATCAGGCTTACTGTACTGGGGTACAGTTGGAATTATTTTTTTCATTATACACGAATACATTTTTTTCATTATACGCCAAAATCCATAATATATACATGAACTGTCATCTAGCAGTACACGCTAAAGTAGTACCCGACAATTACGTACCACAAATAAAAGTGAATTCTGTAAAAAAAATCGCATCTTCTGCCGATAAGGCAAGTTTCCCGCCTTTTTATTCACAAAATATTACTTTAGATGGCAGTCGCATCGAGTTTGCAGACTCACTGTACTAACTCCACTTTCTGTGTAAGGTCGCGTCGAGTCGAGGACCGTGGACGGAACAAAGATGAAATATCGGGCGTCCGTTTGAGGTTAGACAAAGGGTGTCGCGGGTCGCTCTCGCACTCGTGCATTTTCAATCGCAAAGGGAAGAAAAGAGACTAATTAATCGTGCATGCGACGTGACCACCAGCCGCCATCATGAGTAAGATGTATTCGACGGCGAACCTGTCCGACAAGGAACTGAAGGAACAGGGAAACCGTCTCTTCGATCTACACAAATACGAGGACGCGGCCAGTTGCTACACGAAGGCGATCGTAAGTGCTAATGATATTCCTATCGCGCGTTCAACATCGCACGATCGTGAATCGTGATTCTGAATTGTGACGCGCCTTTATGCGCCTACTCGCTCGCTACAGTTGTTGTTGCAGCAAAATATTTTTTGTTTTGAATCACGAATCACGCAGCACGCCCTGCACGCCTGATGATAACGGCTCGACGGTACCCCTAGCGTCCGACGTTCGAACTAGAATTCGGCGAAAAAGTGAGGGAGATTTAAATCCGTCGCGCGTTCGCGAATGAAGAAGAAAGCAATTTTGCTCTATGAAGGCGATTTTCTTTTCTTCATTATGAATAAACAATATTTTTAAAAATTAAATAATAAATGTATTGTTAATATTTTTTTGTTTATTTTACTTTAGATGAAGAATCCAGGCCAAGCGTTATATTACACAAATCGGGCACTATGTCATTTAAAGTTGAACCGATGGGAATCCGTGTGCAAGGACTGCAGATGGGCCTTAGATATAGATCCCTGTTTGATGAAGGGTCACTTTTTCTTGGGACTCGCCCTACTGGAATTGGAGCTCTTCGACGAAGCTGTCAAGTATCTGCAAAGAGGTAAATACTAAATATAACGAGACATACTTCCATTATTTTGCTACTTTCCCAAGTATAAAGCAGATTTGTAATACACTTATCTCAAACAACGTAGCTGTAGACCTGGCGAAGGAGCAGAAGCTGAATTACGGCGACGACATTACTAGCGTATTGCGCCTAGCCAAGAAACGGCGATTCCAAATAAGGGAGGAACAAAGAATTTGCCAGGATATCGAACTGCAGACTTATCTGAATCAGCTGATCGTAGACGACGCGAAACGTAATTTGGCGACTCTGCAAGAACAGGAGACGGCAAAGGATTCGGATGTTGAAACGAGCTCGGCCGAATTTGCCAGGAGAAAAGAGGAGATCGAGGAGAAGAGAGATACCTGTATATCAAGACTCAATGATCTCTTCGCTAAGATCGACGACAGAAGGCGGGTATGTATCTCTTTTTACCTGTTGCTTTTTTTAGAACGGTTCTTTGATTTCATAGTCCGTGATTCTGTTAATGCAATATATATGAAGGGTACAGGAGAAAAACGACCAGTCTACTTTTTGTCGAAATTGATCTGATCATGCTATCTTGTGGAATTTTCGAAAAACTTTTATCTGTTTTCTTATCTGTTTTGAGCAAAAACAGTTACAATTTATTGGAAATAAGAAATAAGGCTGAAAGATATACCGTGCTGAAGAAAAACAATTATAATCCATGCGCTTGTAGGGAAGAACGATCAGAATCCAACATTACTCTGGATGGACTTACTCCGGATTATTCGTTTTTCCCCTTTACTCTTCATATACAATTCATAATACAATTTTATTAATCCTATTAATACAAATATATTTTTCGCAGAAAAGAGAGGTACCCGATTACTTGTGCGGCAAGATTAGCTTCGAAATTCTGCAGGAGCCGGTGATTACACCCAGCGGTATCACGTACGAGCGAAAGGACATCGAGGAGCATCTCCAACGGGTCGGTCACTTCGATCCAGTTACGCGCGTCCGTTTAACGCAGGACCAGCTTATCCCGAACTTGGCGATGAAAGAAGTGGTTGACACTTTTCTGCAGGAGAATGAATGGGCCTTGCATTACTGATGCCGATATGCAGCTTACTGCCATAGGTTTAAGTTAAGGTGGTGGCGATTTTCAGCGATGGAAGAAGATGTGAGCTTTTGATGAAGAGATTTAAAGGAAGATACAACCAGAAAAATCTCGTGAGTGTAAAATAGTAGACTGTACATGTAAAGGACTAAGTAATCTTGTTACCGTGAAATATTTTTACACGCCATATGAGACGTGGAAGCTATTGTTATCGAACGTAAGTATTAGTGAATAGTTAACACTAATAACGATCGTTTAAACGCGAGTTATATATAATTCCATAAGTGCTACGTATATTATTAATTATATATAGAACTTATTAACTTACCTTTCGTATATCAGCAATTTTCTGGTTTGTAAAGATGAAATTTTCGTAATAGTTGCGTTCAATAAAAACATGAAATCGAAATTTTAAAGAGTTGAACAAAAGCTCAAGAGTTTACTGAAAGTTCCAACACACACAGTGGCTCAAAGAAAAACATAGGATAATAAGCGCTATGTAGCATCTGTAATTCTTGTTTTACCATAAATAATAAACTATTTATTTTGCCACCAAAATCTCGCGCTTTAAATCAAAATATTGCATGTTGGAAGAAATTTTGATTTCTCAAATATCACTAGTGAAAAGAAATCTGAATCCACTCAAGGTATTTATTTTAACATTCAACTGACAACAATATAATCATGTATGTATATATATATACATATATATATGTACAGTTTTACGTATACGCAATATTGTATATGTATCGCAATCGTCGCAATTATGTGTAATAATAATTACTACCGTCCGCCGTCGGTGTATTGTTTTAAGTTATTGCGTAAGCTACATCGACAATATATACGGTTAACAAAAATGCGATAGGATAGATCACTCTCTTTGTAGTTCCAACAATAATAGCAGCGCGATAATGAACTGCTGCAATATTTTCCCTCTTTTCTAGATATTTTTTTTAGCCTTACCCTCTTAACAAAATTAAATTCGAGAGATTGTCGATTGTGTTTTAAAACATTAGAATTTAAAGATGTCAAATGGGAGATAAGTTCAGTCAACAGATATGTAGTATTCACTAAAGAACAAAAGAAGATCGTCGTCAATTCATATAAATAATATCAAAATTTTTAAGAGCACGTTATAAAACGCATCTGACCTCTAAAGGAGTCTTCTTTTTTTTTAGGAAGATCGAGCGAGTATAAGATAAAAAACTAGTATGTGCATTGTAACAAATGATATGATATCAAGATATGATTCCAAATGATATGATATCAAGATATGATTCATCTTTCGTCGTTAATTAAACGATGACGATTTTTGTCATTGCTTAATTGAGGACTCCTATTGTTTATTATTTAAGTAGTCGCTTAACGATTGCTAATGCAGTTATCTTTCTGCTTACTTTTGCTAATAGATAACTCGAAGAAATGAAATTCTACTTATTGTCCGCGTTAATTTGTACGTTTTAGGCGAATACTCCACAACCGAGTAGTCATTAATTCATTAACTCTTTGCACTAGAATATCTTGTTTGAACGTGGATCTAGAAAATCTTGTTAGTCTTTTTTGTGACTTCGGTAACGTGAGAAACTCGTGTATCTATGTTCCTATACATTGCTATGAGAAATCCAATGTATATATAATCATATAACTGAATATATACTATATATATGTATTATGTATATATAACTAGATGTAATAGTTTCCTGTATAAAATAATGCAATCAATATCTCTTTTTTAACACGATTAACACAGAAAGATGTTCAAAGTGCAAAGAGTGAAGTTAAAAATATCACTGGAAGATATCAGGCCATTTGAGTATTGTCGCAAAGGAATGCGAGCAGGAAGATTCCGTGGAATATTCGGAAACATCTTTAATGTTCAATTCCGACCTGGATTTTAACTCATTCCTTTAATCAAATACGACGATGCGTATATTTATATGTATATATGTATATATATTTTTTTTTAATAATCCACATCAGGTCGAATTTGAACATGCGCAACGGGATGAAAATCAGAATAATTGACCTACGTGAAACTAATTAGTTGATTAATCTATGGCCGGGACGATGATAATATCTCTTAACCCGAAGAAACCAATTCTATCGGTTGAATTATTTGCCTTTCAGCTTTCCAGGCATCCTCGAGTGCGCGCATTGCATATTGCACACTGTTAACATTATTGTCAATCAAGCATGATTTATTCCAATTATTATTGTCATCAATTTTATCCTCTTTATTGTCACATTATCAGTCCACGTAATCAATCGTGGATTCTTGGATCCTTAGATCTTTGGCAGAATTTCATATTCTTTCACATATTTATATATCTTGATATACTTAAATTCTTAGATCCTTATAGATCTGTGCTTGTCTTATGCTTTTAAATACCTGAATATCTCCATCTTATTTATTTACTTACTTGCATTCCTGGATTCTTGAGTACTTATGGAATTAGGTATTTAGATCCGTTGATTTTCAAAATCCCGAATCTTCAAATATCCATAGAACTAAGGATCCAAGTGCTCTCTGATCCGAGATTCTACCTATCTAAAACAACGTTTCGGGTATACCCACCCAAGTCCACTGGACGGCTCCTACCGCTAATCTTATTAAATCTGACGTTAATCGCAATTGCTAAAGAGTAAATGTTTCATCGTTAACTTGTATAATAGGCAATTTTCTCCGTGAAAGATTACCTTTCATTTCCGTCCACGCGACGCGCGATTGTGTTGTTCGCTCGAAAACTGTGCAGATGGTTAGTCTAGTATTCTTCAGTATCCGCGAAGCTTTGAAAGCCATTTCGCATAGTTAATATCACTTAAGAAACTCAAAATTGCAAACGAGTTATATCTGTTAGATGAAGATACATTCACAAATGTTCTCAAAAAAATAAATCTCTTATATTTTTATCGAAAATGCCTTGTCTCGGTACTAGATACTTAAATTCCAAATACTATTCTTTAATCAGAGAATCTTGAAAGAGAATCTTTGAGGAAAAATGTGAATTTGAGATAGTTAACAATTGTTAAAGTTGATTGAAAAAAAAAAAAATAAAATTAATGTCTTTCACGAATGTATCTCCGTCTTTGCATTATGAAGAAACGGCCCCTACCGCCCAAGCTTACGTTAATTGACACAATAGACAAGATCCTACCGCGCGGATGCGCTAACTACAAATCGACCAGATTCACCAAAGGATTGCAGCCACTTTCGACCAAACAGCAGCAGTCGAAAATGATCGTCACAGGATGAAATGGAACGTTTCTCGAGGCAAAATCATCCACGGAAACGCGCGTCGCGATCGAGATTGATCCTAGGTGAGGTCCTCGTCCTCATCATCACTGGGGCCGCCCGTAGGGCAGCACAATCCTTCGGAACCGTCACTCCTGATGCAAAACAGCAATGTCTCAGCCACTGTCACTTCGTGCGGCATGATTCCGTGGAATTCTTTCAAATCCGCCGCGGGAAACCAGGCCTTTTCGTTGTCATCAATGATAAAAATTCCAAAGTATCTGAAAAACATCGTTGAGAATTGATATAAAATGCACGTAAAGTAAAATACAGTATTGATTAGTATTAAAATATTATAATTAATATTAAGAGACTAATGCCAACCTGCAAATAGCGACTGCGGGTATCCATAGAACAGAAGTAAGAATGAGAATGGCTATAAGGACTAGAGCCCAAACGGGCCAGTCGTGTCTTTCCGTAACACCTTTACTCGCTACCCAGGCCGGATAACCGCTTCCTTCGAAAAATATCTCGACGAAGGACGCGACCAGAATACTCAACATCGCCAATGGACTGAGGTACTTCCAACATATTAACCAATAGAGGCCAGGTCGATTACCAGTCATCAGTTCGATGTCGTCAGCGAATCTGGAATTGTTGCAACACGCCGATATACACATCCGATCCAAAATCCTGAAGCTCCTTCTGTGCTCACCTTTTCAAACCATAGACATAGGACACTCCTATACATTCGAAGAGCGCGATTATGAGCAGTGGAAAGTTTCCGCTGAAATTGTCGAACAGCACGAAGACGTAACTGCCAGCTCCATGAGCGAAGGCCATAGAAATAATGCAGCATATCAAACAAATCACACCTGCGCACAAAATCGAAATTATGATCCGTAACTTTTTTCACTATTCCTTTTACTACTGTAAGAAGTACCCGTCAGAATCTCCTTTCTCAAATTCGGGAAGAGCTTCAGATCGACGATGCTGGTGACAACACCTTCCAAAGTACCAAACTGGGAATCGATTCCCAACGTGAACAGCATCAGGAAGAACAATACCGACCAGAATTGAGCACCAGGAAACTGATTGATCGCCTCGGTGAAGATGATAAACGCCAAGCCTGTGCCCGCTGCCGACTGTAATCATTATGATTAACGTTATTCGTGATTTACGTAAGCTTCAAGTCACTTTCATACTCACGTTATCCAACTCCTTCTCCAAGTCGCACACAGGCAGTTCCGGCATTATCAAATTGTCCAGCGATCCGTTGCCATTCGTGATATTCAGCAGCGTGCCAGCAATCGGAATATCTTCGGGTATTTTATCGGCTTGGCCGAATATACTGATCAACGTGCTATTCTTTTCTGCTAAGCATTGTTCGTAAACCATGGTAGCCTTGAACCCTGTTCAAACGGGATCAGAAACATAGGAATCAGAAATTTCGGAAAAAAAATCACACGTACCTATGATTGAGAAGACGACGATTCCCGCGAACATGGACGTGAAGCAATTCGTCAGACTGACCATGATGGCGTCGCGGTAACAGTTATTGTTCACCGGATTGTACGAAGAGAATGCTATTAGACCGCCGAAAGCTAGGCCTAGGGAGAAGAAGATTTGCGTTCCAGCCTCCAGCCAGACTACAGGATCGGTCAACGTCCACCACTGAAACGCAAAAGCGAATCAGATACTTATTTGAACTTTTCTAAACGTTTCTTTGTTTATTAATAACTCTGATGTAGAAAGAAAATTGTGAGAACGCACTTTTGGCGTGAAGAGATGCCGCAGACCGTCCGACATACCAGGCAACGTCACACCTCGGAAGAAGAAAATGATTAGGACGATATACGGAAACGTGGCGGTCACGTATACGACCTAAAGAAGTCAGAATGATTATTTGAAGGATCGATAACTAATTTCGGCTATGAGAGTCTCCCATACCTTGCCTGAGGATGCAATACCCTTAATCATGCACATGTAGACGAGAATCCAGGCGATAATTAGCGCCAGAGCGATTTTCCAATTAAACACTTCCGGTGTATTGATGTCCTTGGATATCATCAGGGTGGTTCGATACCAGAAATATTGCGTAGGACTGCTGACCTGTTGACCAAGCCTCGCATTATAAATGAAGGCGAACTTAATGCGCGCGCGCATGCACACATGCGATGGAATAATTCATATTGTATTGTAATTAAATTTCGGCGTTACCAAACACTCAGGTTCAGACGCGTAAGATCCATTTCGAAAGTACTTATTGGGACACTCCGCCCAAGGTAGCTGCGATTGGAAACTCTGTGAACAGATTTAGTTTTCCGTGAATGATCCGCGCGATATGTCAATGAATGAAATTAAAACAGATCATTACCTGAACGAAATAAAATAGGCACCAGGCGATAATTGTATTATAGTAAAGAGCCACGTTGAAGGAGACTACGGCGCTACTGATTCCGATACCGCTCATATACGGGGATACCTTTTGAGAAAGAGATACAATAGAAAACTCATTTTCAAGTATTCGTTTCAATCTATTCATAAATAATAGACTCAATATTCTACTCACCTGATTCCACACTCCGATAGCGCCCTTTCTCAGTCTCTGGCCGATGGCCAGTTCCAGATAAAATATAGGAATACCCTCAATGGCCAACATCACAAAATAAGGGATTAGAAAAGCCCCTACGAACATTAGAAACATTAGATTGTGCTTACAATTTTTTTTAAATTCTAAGCACTGAATGAAGCAAACGCACCTCCGCCGTTCTTTTGTGCCAGATAGGGGAACCGCCATACGTTTCCAAGGCCCACCGCGTATCCTACGGTCGCCAGGAGAAATGTGAGCTTGCTATCCCAATTTTCACGCTCATCTTCGCCCGCTTCCGGTCGGAAAGTCGCCTTGCCGTCATTGTTGCCGGGGCCGTTTCCTATTTTGCCCTACGGATTTGCGGATTTTCATTAAAATTTATTCAACGTGATTTGCAGGGGTGGACATAAATTGACATGTACCTTGTTAGGACTGGTATCTTCAAAGGCCGCATTAGTGGCCCCGTAATTGGCAGTGGCGACGTTCTTTCGATTATCCACCATTAATCTACCACGCATCTCTTTCATCTCAAGCTTATCGATGCTTTTTTGGGGCTTTAAGTCGCGGGAGCTTTGCCGGCGAACGAGATGAGCCGTGTTCGCCATTTCTTCTCGTCTTAGTCTTTTTCAAATTCAATTTTCATTAAACGAAAAGGTCTAAGTGCTTCATCCTACCAAGAAAAGAATTGCAATAATTACTTGAAGAGATACAAGTGAATGCTAAGCAAAATAACTAATAAAAATTGTTTATGAAAGAAGTTACAAATTTTCCTAGGAATGTAATAAATAGATATTTGCGATAATATAAATTAATGTCAAATTAGTGTAATATATTATAAACGTATCTATGTTATAAATAACTATAGAAAGAGAAGTTTATATTAAGATTAAACAATTATGGTGTGTCAGTAATACGCTATTTTTAGTCATCGCAACACATGTTCACGCGAATTTAGTTCGTTGTTTAATTAGTCAAATTTAATTCTTTCGTACGGAAATTGTTCATATGTGCATGCGACATTCTCACGGGTTCAACTTATATTGATATGTATATATACATACATATATATATATATATATATATATATATATATATTCTCTCACACAGGTGTCGATCACAATCGAGCGCACATATACTTCCAAATTACACACGTGCCTACGTAAACTTGCATATATACCCCTTGTACGCGGAAAAATCGAATAAAAACCTCACTGGAAATTGATTTTTGCTTTGACGTAAGTGCATGTCCCAGCGCGCGTGCACAGACGCAAGTTTTATTAAAATTTCTACGCACATCTGTGAGAGGGAAGAAAATATGCAATTTTAATAAAATAAATATCTATGTATATGTATATGTAGCCTCTCGATACATATGTAAAAACACCCTTGTCTTCCACTTCGTCGTACGTATTAACGATTGACACAGAAAACCCGGATTCCCTCTCTCGCGTAAGTATCTCGAGACAGCTTTATTCGGATGCACGTATACGTTCTGTCATGAGAAGGAAACGTCCGTGGAATCGTCCACGATCGTTCGCGTATTTTGACACGAGCAGAAACGCCGAGAAAGCGGAATTCTTACCCACCTGCCGGGGACCAAAGGGGGAAACGCGCGAGGACCTTGTCCGTGGTCGAGGAGCGGTTCGCCACTGGTGACACCCCCGTGTGCGCTGGTGATGGTAACTTTTGAAACCACGGATATATCCAAGAGAATCAATAGCTGGCGCCGGCGCCTCGACGCCTCTCTCTCTTTCGCCCGCGACTCTCTCTCGGGGGTCTCGGGGAACGCGAAACCGCGTGCGAGTCCTCCGAGAGGAAGACACTGGGGGTAGGGAGAAAGCGAAAGACAGGTCATGATTTATCGTTACCCTGGAACTTAACGCGTAAATCACAACATTGTATATACACGAAGTACATATATATTTAAATTTTTATATATTTATACTTATATCTAAAATTAAAAGATTACTCTTATGCAAACACGATGGTCGAAATTAGAATAGCGATTGTACAAGAAATTAAAATACGTGGAAATTAATTTGGATTATTTGGATTACCTCGGTAATTAACTACGCTATTCTTTATATGTATAATGAAAAATATTTATTATAAAACTAGGTCTGGTGTGTGTGTGCGCAGAGAGAGAGAGAGAGAGAGAGAGAGAGACTATAGTTATTTATCAATGTATATAAAATATCTGCGCGATTACATAGTTTTATCCATTTAAATTTCTTTGCTCCTACTGAATCCATATATCTTCACTAATGTAGGGTCTCCTCAGCTAGAAATTGCGTAAAAGCAAGAATCCCTAAAACATATACAGTTTTCGTTAAATCTTCCTACACATATTTGAATAACTGAACTTCAATATTTGTGAGGGAGTGTGCCGTGTACGCTCGAAGCGATCGCAAATTCGATGTACTCCACTTTGAAATAGCGATCAAAGATATGATTTTAATCACTACCGCATGTATGTAACGATAACAATGGTAGACGTGAAAATCGAGGTAGCGAGTGATAGGAATAAAACAAAAGCGCGGCGTTACATCAAGCTGTCTTGAGCTATAATTATACATGTTGCGTACATATTATACTCTTTTAACGGCTTCATTAGGCAGGGATGAAGACATCAATTATACCTACTATTTATATTCTTCCTCCCGCGCTTCTCTTCCGTGAAAGAAGAGATCAGATTGTCAACGGTCTCCTCTACCTTGTAGTTAATTGATTTCATGCAATCGCTGATACGGAGATACCTAAAACAAGCACACGTAACATATGGTAAATTATATCAAAATAATCGCACTGTCGATCGTTTTTAAAAGGATGATTACATACATATTATGGAAGAACTGGTAGCCCTCCACGGCCCACTGCAGGAGCAACTGGAGCGTCGGTCGGTAAGGTGTCCCCTTGATTAATTCTTGCATCGTTTCGTCCTTCAAAGACACTTTACTTCTGGCATTTTCCAAATTAACCAAATGGTTCTTCAAATCCTGAAATTAATAAATTTGAACGTCGGCGTTTTTCATTTTTACTCGCGGAATAAAGATAATACCTGATTAGCGTCATTAAGCTGCGTCAAAATGTCCGAGAGGAGCGCAATTTCTTCCTCGAGGCCCATGAGAATTTTAAATATCAATCTTCCCCGCGTTTCTCGATCCACACTATCTTCCGTCCCGTCTATTTTTTCACTGTAGAAACAGATAAAAATCGACTGATTAATTGATGCTCCAAGTCGATTAGTTTCCTAAGTTTTTAAATTACTTAAAGGATTAAACCCTGTATTAATAAATTTTTTTACTCGACTAATTTTTCTAAATTTTATTATTACAGACTAATGAACGTACGATAATTATTTAAATTTGTTTCTTTATCGAAGGTATCAAAAAAATTAAGAACTTAACATATAGGAAGTCGTTATGACTTCCTATATGTTAAATTCTTAATTTTTTAATGTTTATTCCTTCCTCTCTGTTTTCAATGTTTGATTTCTTGTTCTTTATTCTTGCTTATTGTATCTGAGCTTAGAATGACTTCAACTCTAATCAGTAACAAGATTATCAAGCAATACCTATATTATTAAGAACGAGATTGTATATAGATAAGATATTAGAATAACGAACGTTAAAATAATGAATTATGTAGATAGAAACTTTGCTTATACATAATTATGGATAAAATTATTTATTTCTTGTAACTTGTGAATGTGGAAAAAAAATTAGATTAAGAACAAATGTTAAAAATTTTGTTATAAACGCTGAATATACGATTTAATTAATCAGTGATTAAAGTAATCGAATTTCAATCGAAGTCACCTTAAACTTTGTTACTTTAATATAAAATAGTTATAAAAATAAAATTATACGAATCGATCGATTATCATTGATATTTTTAAGATGTTATCGATTATGAAAAATCTCGAAACAAATTATCTAAACGTCGATTTATCTTTTTAACATCGTCCATCCCCACTTCGCCGCGACACACAATGATCTCGAATCCCAAAAACCTGGCCAAAATATGAAGGCGTTCTTCAATTTAAATGGAAATTGATATACTAGTTCAGAATTTATCTTTTTTACTCCACATTGGAAGGAAAAAGATAAACTCTGAACTAGTGCAGTTAGTTCAATAGAGAAAACAGACCCAATCGACTCCCAGCAGTCCCAGCAGGGATCCCAGGTTGGCCAGGTTTTTGGGATTTGAAACCGACAGTCACGCCACCTGGCCTGCTCTCGTCCGAGTCGCGGTAAGAAAATTGTCGCGCGATCAAGGATCGCCACTTGTTGTCCACTTACTTCGTGACATGGCGCAATTGCTCCGTTTGATTAGCGAGAGCCTTGAGCGGTCTCTCGGCCGTCCTCGACAATTCCCTCCACTTGTCGTCCAGCCTTTCTAGACGCGCGAAGTAGCGGACGAGGCACGCGTGAAGCTCACGTGCCATCCTCGCTGATCCTCGCGGATCTGCGCGACAGGCGCGACTATCGACTCTCGAGTGTGGAAGCGTCGGGATTTTTTCGCCGCTCGGGGAAAGGAAAGCTCGCCTGATTCCCCAAATCCCTAGGAGGTCCAGCTTGCTGCGGCAGTGCGGCGACGTCCGGCGTCCGACCGTCCATCTACCGATTTCTCGCGTCCCGCGGTCCGCGGTGGTTTGCCGTGGTTACCTGTCGGACGAGGTTTGCGTGCCACTTCGTTCGAACGCGAATCGATCCGGCGAGCCGGGAAAGAGCGAACGACGAGCGGGCATCGCGACGCAAGAAGGAATAGCTTTTTCATTGTAGACTGGGATGAGACTCCGCTGAGCAACATTGCTGTTTCTCTCTCTTTCTCTCTGTCTCTCTCTTGCACAGTCTGACAGATTCAGTCTGTCAGTCTGCCTGTCTGTGTGCGTGCGTGTGTGTGTGTGTAGCTCTCTTTCTCTCTCCGATATCGCCGCGAATAAGTCATCAACAATGCAAAGTGTAATAAATTCCGTGAAGGGCACTGCGCTGGGCGTCGCTGAATACTTGACGCCGGTGCTGAAGGTAATTTCCATCCACTTGCTGCACCGGAAATTGCACGTTGATAATTTGGAGTAGATTAGATATTTTGGTTTGATTAGTGCCGAACAATGAAGGGAGATGCACAGGAAATCTGATGTAACTAATAAACAAAAAATAGAGAAACGAATAAAATATGCAGGATATGGATTCTCTTTACTTCTCGAAGATTATACCACCGATAAAAAAGTCACTCTGTACTCATTAAGCACAGTGGTAACAGCTCCAGTATGTTGACAGAATGGTAACAAATTAAAAAACATGTCAGCAAACTGACATCAACTGCATTCAGAACTCATATTCTGCCAGCAGAGTCTGCTAACATAATTAGACAGCAGATTGGCAGCAGAAACCATGCAGATAGAGCCTACTGAGAGGCAATATGAGCAGATTGGATGATTTCTACAATTTCTGCTGTCAATCTGCTTATATTGCCTGTCAGCAGGTTCTGTCTTTCTGGAAACAGTTTGACCACATCGTCTGACTGAGCAGCTTCTGTGTGAAATTTGTTGCCTTTTTGACATTAAAAATTTACTGCAGGCTCTGAGCTCTGCTGAAAATCTGTCTGCGTTGGTTTGGCTACCTGGGAGTATGCCACTAGTTTGCCAGCAGATTTGAGCCAAGTATTCCGGCAGATTGATATTACTATTGACATAATCTGACAGTAGATTTTTAGTAGAAACCAAACAAACGTTATCAGTTTGTAACCATTTAAACAGATGATCATTTAAATGGCGACAATATGATAGGTTTTGCTTGATTTCTGGAGTCAATCTATCATTCTGTATTCTGCCGATAAAATTTGTACTTTACAAAATTTATTTTCGACAGATTTAGCTATCTGGATAGTTTTTATCGATTTCTTTTACATAACGCTTTTTCGTCGGTTGCTTCGTGATTTATCGGACATTCAGTATTTATGTGAAAAATTGTGTAAAACTGTTGATTTAATTTTGTAGTAAACACTTCACAAAATGTGTTTTTAACAGATTTGACTATAATATAATTCTTATTGATTTTTCTTACATAGCTTTATCGTTGCATTGTGATTTATTGGACATTCTATATTCATGTAAAATCGCACGGTTCTCTTTTAAGGAAAGCAAATTCCGAGAAACGGGTGTTTTGACACCAGAGGAATTTGTAGCAGCCGGCGACCATTTGGTGCATCATTGTCCCACGTGGCAGTGGGCAACCGGCGACGAGGATAGGGCAAAGTCTTACTTACCAAAAGGCAAACAATTCCTGCTGACTCGTAATGTTCCTTGCACGCGTCGATGTAAGCAGGTAACATCATGCTTGCATAAGTAGCATGCAATTTTTTCTCTTTAGTTTGTATATAATAATATCGTTTATTTTGCATTTGTAGATGGAATACAGCAACGAGCAAGAATGTATTATAGAAGCTGACGATCCTGAAGGCGGTTGGGTAGACACCCATCATTACGCCAGTGTCGCTGGTCTGGATGAAAGAGTGACGGAAATGGCACTGGAAGAGTCGCTGGGGGAGCCATCTCAAGACAATGCGGACGAGGATGAGGATGACGAGGACGCCGCTGATATGGAGGCCTTCGAAATCAGCGGTATGCTGGATGAGCAGGATAAGGTAGCAAACACAAATCTGCAGAAGAAGGAGAATTTCCTGAATTAATAATTGTAGAAATCGATTGTCCTTATAGCACGCGGCGACGGAAAGCTCTAAGAAAACTAGCCACGAGAAGCGGGACTCGTTTACGGAGGGAGAGATTATTCGCACTCGCACCTATGACTTGTACATTACATACGATAAATATTATCAAACACCCAGATTATGGTTGTTTGGATACAATGAGGTAAGACGCATATTTATTTCTTCCTGGTTTCTTAAATCTTTGAATGATTGCATCTCCTTCCACTATACTAATTATTTTATCATTAGAATCGGAAACCGCTTAGCGCAGAAGAGATGTACGAAGATGTTAGTCAAGATCACGCTAAAAAGACGGTCACGATGGAGATCCACCCGCACATGCCTGGTCCTCCTATGGCTTCTGTTCATCCCTGCAGGTAAAAGGGCGAAAGAGTATCCGACCTAAATTAGTTAGATTCACGAATTTTGATGGATGATTAAGTTAAACGATTCATTGTTTGCGCAGGCACGCTGAAGTGATGAAGAAAATCATGGAGACGGTGATGGAGGGCGGTGGAGAATTAGGAGTACACATGTACCTTATAATTTTTCTGAAATTCGTTCAGTCTGTCATACCGACGATCGAATATGACTATACGCAAAATTTTATGCTAAATGCGATCGGCTAAATGCGTCACTAGTGCTAAGTTATCAGCATTGTATTGTGATTAATATAAATTGCTTACCAACTGTATTTAGTGGATACGCGGGATAAATGTGTATCGATGTTTACTACGCTTTTTATTATAAGTGCGAAAATTGTCAGGATATTCGAAATTATAAGGATCCAAGAGAAGAGAATTTCATGCATCTTGAATGATCTTTGAGGGTCCAGAAATTATGATAAGAATATCGAACGATATAAACATCCCACTCCCGAGAACCCAAAGATATGAAACTGTACGGATCTCGAGTGTTCAGCATTTAAGGATCCATTTGTACACTTGTCCTAATTAATTTTAAGCAAACATACACCTCCACTTTTTTACATTGCAAGATACTGAGTTGAATAGATATTTTACTTGACAACCGTTAAGCCGATTCTAAAATCAGTCGTATGTCGGAGTCGGATGTCTGAACGTAACCGATGGTCCAATGAGGGAAATTCGTTTTCAAAAAAGAAATTCTCTTATTGGACCATCGGCTGCGTTCCGACATCCGACTTCGACATACGACTGATTGTAGAACCGACCTTAGACAATAAGCGAAAAATAAAGGCTACACTGATTAAGCAACGAAAGGAATCGGCAGAAAGAGAGAGAGAGAGAGAGAAATACGGAAGTAATTTCCTATTTCTTATATGTTTATAATTAAGCTGATTATTTGTTAACGTATTTACAAAAGAAGCTTAAATATTTATCAAAATCGGTTATCGTTAATTATACGAAAATAAATTGGAATAATTCGAACAGTACTTGTGTGTGACCAGTTTATTTATCACTCGCCGTCACAGTAAGGTGACTAAAATTTAGCCTTTTCCGGTCGACCGTTTCCCCTCTGATTTACTTCCTTGCACGTTAAGGAGATACACATAATTATTTCCACCGGTAATCTGTGACAATCCCATAAATCTACCGGTATATAAATTAACATAGTGCGATTAAGTGAGCACCTGACAGAATTATGGGACATCGTGTGACACGATGTCGCACTCATTGCTTTATGAGCAATTTAGATATAGTAAACATAGATTAGATATAAAATTAAATATAGAAATCTACTATTTTTATCGAAGATTAAAGCAGATGGTTTAATTCGACCCAACTGGCCATTTATTAATATAATATTCAAATATACAACGTTTCGACCATGGTTTGTGGGCTTATCAAGTGTAAACTAAGTTATAGATTTACAATGTGGCTGTTTTGCGGAACATTTTAATTATAGAGACTGATAATAGAACGAAAATAATTCTATTATCAGTCTTTATAATTAAGATGTTTCGCAGAACAGCCTCATTGTAAATCTATATTCGCCGGTAGGCCCGGTAGATGGTCGAATTATAGTTGTGATAAACATTGATTTAGAAGTTAGCAAGCCAACCTGCGAGTGATATATACTGACAAGTTTTCTACACTCATCTTTTACATTGTCACGTTTTACATGACACACAAAACCTGTAAGTTCTCTAATTTATATTATTTATTAATTATATTTCTTCTACTACTTCCACTAATTAATGTTTAATATTTTAGTTTCTTGACTTTTTAGCGCAATGCCATAACTAGGATTAGTTTTGTATAAGACATATTAAGATTCATAAAAACGGTTTTCCGTTGCGAATCATTGTTTCCGCGGTGGGTAGTCCTCTTCACAACATATATAGCCACTGCGCAATGCAAATATAACGATAACGAAAGTTTCGTTACGAAACTGTCGTTAAGAGTTGCAGAATAGGCCTACTCTCCTTTGTGACTAAAATTAGTAATACGAAAATTATAGTGCTGATAAATTAATTGTCTTAGTTGATGTTATGGCACTATTCACAAACATCCCCGAAGAATTAATTTTAAAAGGAAAGAAGGGGTGAAAAACCACATATCTTCCGTGTGACAGAACTTAACACAATTTTTATACGCTATCGACTTGGTTTTATCTTCTAAACTTTTATTTTAACGGACAGATTTCTCTGGCAGCCCCATGGGGTTTTCTCTCTTACCTATCCTTGCAGATATTGTAATGGATGTCCTTGAGACATGCTACCTAAAATCATGAGATTTTTGTGATTCCCATTTTTTATAAATACGTCGATAACATTTTTGCAATAATTTCCAAATAAAAAATTATAACATACTAAATGTCTTTAATAATTATCATCCTCGATTGTGAAATTTACATATGCAACCGAAAAAAACAATTTAATAAATTTCTTAGATACGACAATTATATTATTAGAGATGGCAATATACTGCTGACCAATACACAAAACCTGTAATATAAACTATAAACCATAATTTATTTCTTGTTCAAAATAATATAAAGTTATTATTTTAATTATGTAAATATATGTTGTGAAAAAGAACGTAAAGAATTAAGCATTAACATATTTCCTGTAAAATATTTTGTAATGACATATTTCCTATGAAATATGTTACCAATGATTGTGTATCTTTAAAAAATATATAAAGATTAAACATACTGCAAGTGTTTTAATCAACGGAATTATATAATTTTTATATACATATCTGCTATATATCTACATTTGTGACACATTTTCGAGTGATAAAAGTGACAATTGACCATGAAATATTATCATTAAATTATATGTATGTACATTATGCGAGTCACAGCTGCTGTGCATTTTAGTGGAAATAGTGAAATTCGCAAAATTAGCGGGTATTTCGAAAGTATGGCCTAGGTTACACCGACCGTTTGGTACGCGTACCAAGTACTTATCAAATCCGTATCAAATCTCGGTATCACCGGTATATAACCCGAGATACGGATTTGATACGAATATAGTACTTGATGGTACGCGTACCAAACGGTCGGTGTAAAACTAGGCCTATAAACAATTAAGTATTAAAAAGTTGTTTAAATTTACATTTATTTTAGAATTATTATTTCAGAATTACTTACTTTAGGACTTTACTATCTGCATTCTTACAAATAGTTAAAAAAATGTGTTTTTATAAATAATATGAAAATTTTCAAATATATTTAATTAATTTTGTGAGAATAATTGTGCATATTCGCTATATATCATTCAATAATAATCAATTAATAATCATTCTTTTCCATTTTTTCGATGTTTGTAATTTTTTTATTATATGCTCGTATTCGGCATAATCAACTTTCTGCCAGATAGAAGATTATCCGACGTTTGACACGTGTGTGTTCTTTATACACAGTCTTTATACGCAGTAAGGCAAACAGGGCGATATTAGATAACGGAATGTCTCATAAATTTAACAGTGTATAAATTAGCAACGTGGCTTATATATTGCTGTGCGCAGAAAAAAATTTCAAGTTTGGTCTGTCCAGAAATCCTTTTTTGTTGGTGGAATCGATTTCAGAGCCACAATGATAAGTCACACTTTTCGACAATTTGCTTTCACCATTGTGATAACATACGCGATTGCAGTTGGTAAGTATTGATTTTTAATTCAATACATGATCAAGAAAATTCATTAGTTATGTGTGTGTGTGTGTGTGTGTGTGTGTGTGTGTGTGTGTGTGTGTGT